AGGGGTCCGGAGCATGCCCTCTCTGTGAGATCGGATGGATGGGTTGAAATAATTAATTTTTCTTTTGTTCAAAGTTGAAGGTAAACTCATCCAGTGACTTTTCATACTTGTCGTTCTGTCAGGCCCAGCCCAGGAACAACGATGAGACAGTTCAGTCCAGTATAGTTCCTTTATTAGTTTACACCCTCAAGACAGAATCTCGCCAGACTAAATCTATGCCCTGTGAGACTCTGGGGGGGCTAGCCTAAGCCTCTTCTTCTTCTCACGGTCTTGTTGCTTTTGCCTTGTCCCCTCTCCTGGAATGCACTCCCTCCCTCCTGATAGCCTTGATCTTCCAGTCTCCTCCTCGCACATGCCTTCCATTACACGTTCCTAAGATCTCTAATAGCTTTAAGATGGTTAATAGGCAATTTCTGAAAATAATTAGAAAGTGAGGCTTGCAAACTTAGTGTCTTTTAAAAGGCTCCACCACAGTTGCAAAGAAGATGGCTAATCCCTTTTTCTCCCAGTGCTCAAACCTGCGGAAGACTGCTGTCCTACGGTCGTCTCTCAAGGAACAGCCATTCAGAGTATATGTGGGTGATCTATCCTCTCCTCATGTGGAGAGGTTCCGAAGAACCAGTCTACTCACTGGTTCTTTGCTCTTTGCCATGGTCATCAGCTCCACTTTCGCGGAGACATCTTCAGTTTACCATGCCTCCCCTGGAAGTCATACAGATTCCTCAAGATTTTTTTTTTTTTTATCTCTTCTTTCATCTCTTCTTTCATGTTTACAAATCTTTCTTCCATTCTCCCTTCAGATACAACCAAGTCTCTTTTAACATTCAATTACATTCTTCCCCAGCTCTTCAGACTTCTTTTGTAATATCTCTGGGGTAATCCTATGATGGAATGTATCTTCCTTCTGTGGCTCCTTGTGCTCAAACTCTTGAGTTGACCACAAGGATCCTGTGGTCTTGCAAGGAGCAGCCTTCTGGAGCACAAGTGATGTTCTCTTGGCCTCTCTTTGTCTGGAGAGGCTCTGCTGACCGGGGCTTAATGCCCAGCCGCTGATCTTCATCACAGTGTCATCACCGCTCTTTTGTAGAGTCTTAGTGTGCCATTTCCTCACCCTGAAGTAAAAAAAAGCTCTAAATGTCCATTAGGTTTTTAATTATGCTAAACTATAATGTAGTGTTACTGTGTTGTGTGAAATCAACAATTGTGGCTATCTTTAGCACAAATTCTGAATTTGACCAATGTAACGATTTTTCTCATAAGGGAATTGCTTCACCTTGATTGGTTTGTTATAAACTAAAGCTCCTTTCTACCTTTGAATCTGAAGTGTTTGACAGTTCTAAATCTATTATTTCTTCTAAGATGCTGTGACTCTACAAGTGATATTTTAACTGCCTCAGCTAAACAGTAATGGTGCTTTTTAAATCCTGAAATATCTGCTGTACTAAAAAGATCTGTGTTCTGTAAAATCTTATCAAATCTTTTTCTGTATATTCTTTTTTAAGGACACCAGAGATTTCTTAAGGAAAAATTCAAGCTCAGCTTCATTGGACTCTTCTTCAGGTACAAACTGAAAAGTAAATGATATAACGTAAATTGAAAAAAATATAATTTAGCACAGTATTCCTTGGCTGCTATTATTTATTTATTTAAATGATTTATATGGCCACCCATCTAACAACAGTAACTCTGGGCAGCATATAAGGATTATCCACATATAACCCAGGAAGCCTGAGGTTAAAGCAAAAAACAAAAAAACAAAAAAAAACCCTCAACCCCAATCAGAAAAACCACATCAAGAGGAGAGCTCACCTAACCACTTGGTCCAAATCCCTGGGGAAACAGCCAGTTTTTCAAAGCCTTGAGAAAGGTTACACGGTCAAGGCAATCCAGTTTTCCGAGGGATGCTATTCCGCAGGGCAGGTGCTGCCACATAGAAGCATAACTCCTGGATCCAACAGCATGGCACTCTTTGCCGGAAAGGACCTGGAGGATGCCCTTGATGCTAGATCTGGTGGGCCAAGCAGAAATAATGAGATAAAGGTGGTCCCACAACTAGGGCTTTATAGGTGATAACAGGCACCTTGAATTGCATTCAGAGGCCTACTGGGACCTAGTGCAGTTCATGAAACAGCAGTGTTATATGAATGTAACAAATGCCAAAACCTGCCTATGCTGCTGCATTGTGGACCAGCTGCAGCTTCTGAATGCTCTTCAAGGACAGCCCCGTATACAATGTGTTTTCAGTAATCCAAATGGGAGATGACTAAGCCATGAGTCACCATGAGTAAGGCATTCTGGTCCAGGAGTGGATGCAGTTGGTGTACAAGATGAACCCTTGCAAAGGCCCCCCTAGCCACGGCTGCCACCTGTTCTTTGAGCAGGAGCTGCGAGACCAGAAAACCTCTAAATTGCATACCAGATCTGACTGCGAAAGTGCATTGTCAGGCAGAGTTAAAGATGGGAAATCTCTGGAATCAGTGCGGGGCCTTATAGCCCACTGCCATTCAGTCTTGCTGGAATTGAGCTAAAGCCTGTTCTCCCCCATCTAGAATCCCACAGTCCCCAGGCACTGGAAAAGGATCTCGGCGGGTATCATCAGCATACTGATCTCACGCAGCAGCTTCATGTAGATGTTAAATAAGAGCAGGGAGAGGGTGGAGCCCTGAGGCACCCCACAAAGCAGCCCCTCCCAAGCACTGACTGGAACCGGCCCTGGAGAAAGGAGAATCAGTGTAATATGGTACCTCCCACTGCCAATCCCCTGAGCCAGCCAAGAAGGATTCCATGATTGATGGAAGGCCACTGAGATCTGTATTAGTTTACAAAATAATTCTGTATATATTTACTTGGAAGTAAATTCCATAATAGTTCATTAATGAAATAGAAATGCACTCTGTAGCAAGAGCTTCAGTATCATACATACCCTTAGCTCCAAAATTCAATGTTATTTACATAACTTTTAAGGTATTGTTCACTGCCCCATGAACTCTAGCTGACTAAAACTGCTAAAAATAATTTAAAAGGCTGATACATATTTTTCAGATTAAAAATATATATTTAAAATTATGTTCTTTTTTTTTTTTGCTCATTAAAAGAACAAGAACTTACATACTTCTGATCTTGAATGATATTGTTCTACAATTCTTTATCTCTCACATTTTTTCCATAATCTTCAACTGTGAACTTTATTCTATCACTATCTTTGGAGTTTTTTGACATGCTACTCATAATTATAAATTTCATAATAATAGTATTTAACTACTTTTAGTAATTAAATACCCAGTTCATAATTTTGCAACATATTTAATTTCCTGAGGTTTGCTGCTTCAAAGCAATAAAAGTTTTGCTTGTAAGTGTGTGTGTGCGCACGCATGGGGAGAGAATGATCACTTTCGTTATTATTTTGAGTATTTGGGCAATTAATTATGATAGGACTATGCAGTGTGATCACTCACTTTATTTTCATTTTACAGATGAGTCCTCTTCAGTACAAGCTTCGAAAACTGTGTTTCCTTCAGGATCAAGCTCTGATAAAACCATTGTCACAAAAAGCCAGCTCAGTCTTTCAGCATATTCTAACTCTACAACTTTATTAGGAATAGCCAATCATAAATATCCTAGGAAACGGAAAAGAATTTCCTCAAAAACAGATACAAAAAATTTAGAAAATGTTCAGACATTGAATAAACACAATATTAGTAACTTGCAAGTCCTCCATAATGCTGATTACTCAAAAGACAGAATATCTCCTGACGAGAATTTCCTGCCACCTGATATATATCTGTCTGGGAGTGACTTGCCCATTTCAGTAGAAAAATGTGAAGCTGAAGAAAATGAAAATAAAACATATGGATACATTATAAATAAAAATGACCAAATCCAAATTTCAGATACTACAGAAAGGCAATTGCATACATTTACTCCTCATATTTATTTAGAAACAGGAAGAATGAATGCTTCTGCAGTTCCTTCAGAAAAATTTGCTGAGCAGCTTGGATCTTCCTTGAGTGATTGTGACAACGTAGACAGTGATGAAGAGGCACTCATCCCTCTTGAAGAAATACTGTCCCAGGGTATCAGGACAGCTGCAAAAAGCTCAGAAGAAGCTATGGATCAGAATGAAATAGAAAGCACAATTTCTGCAACACATAATGCTTCTGTAAGTGACTGTCTTTGGTTAGAAAGTCCTATCAGGTGTGACTATAGGCACCAATATCCTCATGAAAACCAACTTTTTTACCTGTAAAGTTCCCAGCCCTACAGTACAGTATTTTTAAATGTTTAAAATATTGGTATAATTTTACATGAAGTTTAAAAGAAAATTGATGTGATATGCTGTAAAGCACCAGCCCCTAAAACCATCTGTTTATTTAAGTGTGTTTATGCCATTAACAAGTCTCGAGGCAGTTTACAAGAAATATTTCAAAATGTCATATATACCTTCTAATCCCAAAAGGTTGGAGACCCACGAGTTCAATTTCATTTTTCTTTGGCCCATAAACTACTTGCTTAAGAGAAAGTCTTGTGCCTCTTGAGTTCACTCATTGTTCTTTCTTGCTACCTTTCCTTGAAAACATTTATTATAGAATGTTGAAGTCAGGAAATAAGGAATTTGCCAAATATGTAAACTAAGAAATTTGCCAAATATAGTGAAAAATGTGGAGGGCACAAGTAGGAGATAAATGAAGAGTGAGCAAGTGCATTGCTTGTTCTCAAGTTGATAAATAATGGATCATGATTTTTACATTGAAATTGAACCATTGTATCAAAACCACTTGTATTAGCTGTGGCAGTAACCATGAAAACCTACTCAAGTGTTTATTAGTATGCAATATTAATATTCATGAGAAACCAGAATTTGACATTGGTATAGTAATATGTCTGAATAGGTTCAGTCTATGTGGATGTGTATTGGACATCAAATATTTTCAAGTGTAGCACAATATACTATAATTTATGATTATCAGAAAGTCTGAAAGAGTTGTGTTCTCAGATATGAGAAACAATTGCTGACATTTTGATAGTTACCTCTCTTTTTATGTTTCACTTGCTAGGACTTGCTGGGATATAAAATTTATTTTATATAAAGTCTATTTTATATATCAGAGGTATTATTCAGTTGCTGCTTACTCCCTGTTGCTGTTCTAGATGATAAAAGGTATTCTGCCAGTCACTCTTGTGTAATTGCACTTAAGATATATGTTCTATCTAAAAGTAGTGTTGGTGAAGTTATCTTAATACTACTATGACTCTCTAGATTTCTCATAAAGTTATACATTTAAGTTATGAACATTTTTTAAATTATGTGAATTTTTTTCATGAGGTTGTGATGAGGGATCAATGCTTGGCATAAATAAACTACTTCATATTCCCAACTGGTATCATGGGAAGTTAAATATTTGGCAGATGATAAAGATTTAGGATTAATTTTCTTATTAAAGCTGCATCTGAAGCACACATTCTTTATCAAGGCGAATATTCCAAGAAATCATAGAAGTCTAAATAGCTTGCCTAGATATTCAGAATTGGGATTCAACCCATGTATTTTCAACCTATAGATGCAAATGAATTAGATGAATTTAAAACAAAACAGTTTCATTTATAATGAAAAGCTTTCCAGATCATTTTTCCAGAAAAAGAATCAATTTCCAGAATAATAATTTTGACAAAATTTATTGCTAGTGTAAATGTTAATTGAATAACTGGAATAAACCTGAGTCTACTTTAAAATCAAAGTTATGGGTTTTTTCTGGGAAGTTCTTCCTAGGAAGCACATTACCTACATGTCTTTGTCAATGTTAAGATCAATTTGCTAATACTTTTCAGAGCATTTATTTTTTAAAAAAGCCTAAATAATCTAAGAGAATCATAATGTGCATTAACATGTTTTAATATACAAAAGTATTTTTAGTAATAACTGTTAATTTATTTTATTCAATTTGTGCACTACCCAGTGACTCTGGGTGGTTTGTATTCAACTTCTTTGGCTATTGGAAAGTTTCTATAATACTTATCCAAAACATACAATTAGGTTAATTTAGATTTTTTTTTTAAATGTCTGCTAGTAAAATGTTCAAAATTAGATCATCTATGTGGCATAGGGACAGTATCCTGAAAAAAAATTCCATAAAACCCAAATAGCCACTGAAGTGCATAATATACTTATGAAGATAGTATTTATCTTTTTAATTGAATCTATACATGTTAGGAAGCCACTATACCTTCCTAATATTTCATGCCAATGTCAAAAAGGAAGATGTTTTCAAATTAAAGTTTTAGATATCAGAACGTACAAAGCAGCGTTAATTTGTCAGATAATTGTTTCTCAATTGTGCTGGCGGTGTAACCTTTTGAAACTTTGTACTAACACATAAAAATGTACATTGACTTATTCATGTAATTAGCTCAGTCACTGTTTTTAAATTAGTAGGTTGAATTCTGTCAGAGGGCCTGTGACAAACAGAAATGAGAAGTCTTTTGAGAGATCATGTTTTTTCCCCTGGTATTCCACTTACTGTGTCTGAGATCATTGATTTTCAGGAGTGTCTTTCCAGTTCCTTCAAGGGTTTTCTTGAATAAATATCTAAGAAATTTAGAAGTTAAATCTAATGGCTACCAGTGATCTGAAAATATTCATGTTTTTAATGGAATTTTGCTCCAGCTTTCTAAACCTGTTGTTGAATGTGGAGTCTCATTCATGAATCATCTGGAACATCTCCTGAAAGAGAAAGAAGAGTTAAGGAGGTATGCATGCTTACCTTTCTGGTCCATCCTGATTTATATAATTAAACATTATTTTTATAACATAATTACAATTTGGCTGTTGCTTGCATTTCTCCTGCTTCCTGGCAACTGGTCTAGGTTTTGTTTTTCACATATATAATGAAAAAGTACTTAATTGTTAGGTTTTTAGATGTAGGGTTGATTTGACTTCATGTAGGTATGGGAGAGGCTAGAAAGAGAGGAGAAAAACGAGAAAATGCAAAAACCGACAAAGGCTGAAGGTAAGTTATTTTCAAGCAGGAAGTGCAAGAGGTAACCTCCCTATAGAGGCGAATATGTGTAGCTCAGGGTTGAAGTGTGGAGTCCTTGGGGTTCTCTGAGCTTGGTTGTTT